CGGTTCTAATGTGCATTATATGTAAGCCCTTAAAATGTAAAATTGTCATTTCTTTAAAAGTGAAGTCAACTGTCTGGTAGTGATGAAGCATGGGTTTACAAAACACTCCGTCTTACTTTCCACTAAGTGACTTAATAGTCCCTCCCATAATCCATTTGCATTGATTCCATCTTCATCAAATGTCCACAAACTCCAACACAGCTCAGAGCTGCTAAGAATTCTACTGCTGAACCACTAGGGAAGAGGCTCTATTCAGTTAAAAAAAAATCAGAACTATCCACTTAAGACTGTACTTATTTTTAATAGAGCTTTCCTTTTAATTATAGCATAACATTCGTTTACTCAGTTCTTCTGAACTTTAACAAAGACATCATAAAACAGTAATGAATATAAGTTTCTACAGGCCAAAATATGCCATTTAATCATAAACTATCCTTTCCATTCATTGAAATAAGAAAGAAGGAAAGAGGGAAGGAAAGAAAGAAAGAAAGAAAGAAAGAAAGAAAGAAAGAAAGAAAGAAAGGCCTCGATGATTAAATTCCAGTGACTGAGAACTAAACTTGAATTAAATTTTACTCCGTGATAAGTTAGGTCTTATACAGCAATATCAGGAATGATTTAAGAATAATAGTAAAGATTTTACACTATATTAAAACTGCACACTCAGAAGTGTTTACCAAAAATTAAATTCCAGTTATTTATTTAGTTTGTTTGTTTGTTTGTCTTGCAAATTGCAAGTGACTTGCAGATGTCTTTAAAACCTCTTGAAAGAAGAGATAATGTTATTACGGACACCTCAGGAATATTCCCTTCCCCCACCTCTAATTCCTCCCATCCTCCTCCCAGGATCAAAAGGTTCTTCCTACCATAAACAAAAACAGTATCACCCATACATACATACATACATACATACATACATACATACATACATACATCTAGCACATAGCTGCCTCAGTGAGAGCTAACCTTAGTTATCATCTGTTCAACCCCAGTCCTCAGGCTTTGTCTTAGACAATGTCAAATCACAAAATTTCCCAACTTTCTAGCAAAGTCCAAAGAAGGAAGAAGAGACTGCCGGTCACAAATCCTCCCACTCGGAAGATGCTCATGCACACAGTCTACCAGAGCAGAGACCGAGCTGCCGAGACAGGAATCTGGCCTCTCCGCAGAGATGCAGACAAGATGAGAAACAAAACTGCTTTTCATGGTGCCCTCAAAAGCAGGGGGGGGGGGCCGCCCCCAAGTCGAAAGTTGAAGAAGGTCACCATTGCCCTCTAGTGGCCAAAAATGTAATCTTCCGCAAAGGAGTCTATTTCCATAGATCCACAAGGCTCTCAACATCATTGCAAAAGTAAAGCAGAAAGATGTTTAGCTAGCCTCCTAAACTCTGTTCTTTAGTCCTTCCTACATAGAGAAGAAACTCTAGATGGCCATCACAGTAATCCTGATGGACCAGTGAACTCAGAAGAGGAAATTAAAATGTTTCCAACTTTCTCCTGTTTTTCTTTTCTTCCTCCAACAAACCTGTGGATTTTGTCCCTTTTTCCATTAAAAACGAACTTAATATTTTAGATAGGCTAGCTATCTTTATATATTTCTGGAGCATTAACTTTGAAGTAAGAACGCTGGCCTCTTCAAATTTTAAAGAATGTGAGCTCTCGATAGATTAGCCAACTTCTGATGAAATAATGACCAATTTCATAAAGGTGAAATTCACTGCATGTACGTTTGATGCATTAAAATAACTCACTAGTGAACATATAAAGTGAATGAATATTTCTAAGGAAATACTGAGAACTTCATAGCAGTTCTGGGACATTGACTGTGCAAGACAATAGTTCACTGCCTTCCCTCAACTCCATGAAGTGTATTTTGTAATTATTAGTCAATAAATGAGTATGCTATAACCAAAGTTTTAAAAAGCCAATGTTGAAAATAAGCTCAAATAAACATAGCAGGCTTTTGAACTTCCAACACAAAATCACTGGGGATAATGGCTAAAATCTGATACGTAGCCCTTGTTGATGTAGTTTTGAAAAATATAGATTTACATATAATAGATAAAATTGTATGTAGATTGCCTGCTTCTTAGGCTATTGACATTTATAGGAATGCTTTCCAGACACATAGAGCTTGTCAGAGTGTAGTTTTTGTGACTGTAAATCAAGCCATGAAGTCAATGTCATGGTGATTCCTATATGAGGGTCTCCAAACCTGAATCCTGACAAAGCAGCCATGTAATTCTATTCAAAGTGAAAGAAAAAAACATGAATTATGAAGACATGTGCATTAAAGGTGCATGAAATTGATCCATATTCCCCCAAATGATGGCATAGCTCTCCGACTCTGCACCCTCCTCCCACAGTCACACATTCTGAAGCCACCACAGTGGATGGGGAAATACAAGTTCTGTGCCAAAAAAAAAAAAGAAAAAGAACTGTAGCTTTTACTTTTCACAAATTAACAAAAGATTGCATCTTAATTGAAAATAGAATTTAAGTTTCTAGTAATTTGCTGTGGTGGACTGATAAGCGTTTTGAACATAATGTAAATTCTGGAGTGTTATCAAGATGGTCCAATGTTTCCACAAGAACTATTCTTAAAAGGCTTTCTTTCTTCCTTTCCTAGTATGCAGTAAGTCCACACGTTAAACAGATTTCCAAGACCAGGTCATCCCATTTCCATTCTTCCTAATTTGTTTCTTCATATATCCCCACCCTATGCACACACTCCTGGATGGGGGATGGGGGACGAAGATTCTCTCTCTCTCTCTCTCTCTCTCTCTCTCTCTCTCTCTCTCTCTCTCTCTCTCCCCATATAACATTCCAAACAGGATATACAGACTTTGAACTAATAATTAAAATAATGTCAGTAACCATTGATTGCTACTAAAGATAAAAGTATAGACTCCCAGGATTTCAATATGTTTGCTGGGATGCAATGCCTTGTCTCAGAAAGCAAGAAGCAAAACCCATTTCCCCACAGCAAAGTTTCCTGGCCTTTGGATGCCTCTGTCTGGTCTCTGCTGAGTGCTGATCACATTCCTTTGTACTAGGCAGAAGAGCTGTTTTGCACAGAGGGTTCGAATTCCAGGGCCTAACTGGCCAACCCTAAAACTTAAGAGTCAGAGATTGTTTAAGGAACTTAACGTGCCTGTGGCTTTGAGGGTCCCTCTAATACTGGCCACAGCTATGTCCCTTTGTTTTGCAACTTTTATTCCTTTGTTCTGCTAGAAGATCAAGCTGCCTGCAGCCGGGGTTGAGCATCCCTTTCTAGGTTCTGGGGCTCTGTCTCCTTGCTTATGGGAGAAAACAATTCCAACATTATTGAAATGAAGGTCAGTCCCTTCTCTTATTCTCTGCTACCCTTAAAGGCGCTTGCACTCAGTTCTGCCTCGCTAATATGCGATGCGAAGGATCCTCGGTCCTGAGAATATATCTGTAGACTGGTCCCCAGAAAATCCAGACACCCCGCAAATCCCTGGATATCTGATAAAAGCTCTAGAGATAAGGAAATTGATCTCTCCTTTCGCCAGATTAATTATCACTGCTTTCTGTGATTAAACCCAAAACTTACTGCTTCCTAGTCCATGGATAAGAACGATCGGGAGAAAATAGGAAAAGATTCCGGAGCCATCCTTAAAGATTTCTTGAAGAAGAAAATGAAGGGGAGACTTTTAGATAAATCTCTACTCTCCTGCAGTGCCAGGCTTTCATTAACAAACCCACTCCCAGCCCTCAGGGACGACCCTTCGTCACGCAGAAATGGCACCGTTAAATAATTAGAAGATGCAATTTCTTCATAGCAGTGCGATAGCGCGTGAAATGCCTGCTGCATTATTAACAAAAAGCAACAGGGCTTCTTCGAACATCTAGCGAACCTTTCACCCGCGGAAGGCAGGAGTGCGGAGCCCGGGCGAAATCCTGGCCTTTGCAAGAAACAAGAGTAGGAAACTGGACCAGCGGCCTCCTGGGTCCCACTTTCTTCAGGGACCCGGAGCGAAAAGACCCTGCCAAGGCGATGCTGGGTTGCGAGGGGAATACGATGCTCCCTCCACCTCCCCCTTCCCGCGGCTCCTTGCTTTCCGTACACCCAGGCTGGGAGGCCAAGCGCAGGGAGGGAAGCCGAGCATGAGGAAGCAGTGGAGGCTTGGAGCGCTCCGAGAGCAGACGCAGGCTTTCCGGGAAGGTTTGATTCTCAAAGTTAACACTGACCCTGGAAAGCTTCCTCTAGTCCAAGCCAGAGTCTAATGCGAGTCTGAGCTGCTCACAGACCATTCCCTGCACCGCTGGGAGCTTAGGAAGGGTGACTGGAGCCCCCGAAGAGGCGGGGGCTGGAGGGCTAGCTCGCACCGCAACCCCCGGTCTTGGAGACGCAATCCACAGACCCCCCCCACACTATCAAAGTGCGGCCAATCCAATCGCCGCTCCCTCTCGGCCGCCTGCTATCTTCTGGGTTTCCATCGCACTCCCTACCCCGGCACCTAGTTCAGGGGAGCTCTCTGTAAAAGCGAGAGGACACCCATCTAGGAACCCCGCAGAGAGAGATCTTGTCTGGGGACCAGGCGCAGAGCTGGCGGGCGGGCGGGCAGGCACCGCACAGGGGTCGACTTTCCCCTAGAGACATCACGGGAGCAGTCTGCGTGTCCAGAGCTCAGCTCTGCAGTTCTTTGCCCCAACCCAAAGCAACCCCCTGTGCTGAAGCCATGGTGCAATAGCCCCCCCCCCCTCCGGGGGGGGTACACATCAAAGAACCGGGGAGCGCACATCTGGCGCCTCAAACCCCTGCTCTGCCTGCTCCCCACAGCTGGCTGCCTCCTTCTTCTCTGATTTTTACCCCCCCCCAAAAAAAAGCCCTCCTGCTTTGCATTACTGATCTCCATTAGCAAAGAATCTCACCCTTCCACAGACAGTCTCTTCCAGAAGCAATTCTTTCCCCCTTTCTGCCCACTCCAAGAAGCCCCATCTAGACAGGGTCCAGAGCCGAGCGGAGCGCCTCACCTTGGGCCCTTGCGGATGGACGCGACCTCCTACCCGGCTGTCCCTGGCACTGGGCGAGCGCAGCGGTGTCAGCAAGGGCCCCGGTCCCAGTCCCATTCACAAGTCGGCGGCGGCTGCGAGCGGCCCCCGCGGCATCTGCTCCTCGGCCCGCGAAGCTCCCCTCAGCTGGCGGCGGCCGCGGAATGAGCCGCGGAGCGCGCTAGTGGTAGGAATGAGAAACCGGGGGGAGGTGGCGGGCAGGCGGGCGGGTGGGGGGGTGGGGAGGAGGGAGGCCGCCGCTGGGAGGGAAAGAGGGGCGGAGAGGAACCGAGGCTGCTAGACGCTGAGAATTGGGCCTGGAGGGGGCGATGGATGCCTACCCTGTCGGCGCTCCACCCCACCCCCTGGGGGGGCCGAGAGATGCCAAACCCAGGACTAGGTGGCCTGGCCGCCCCTCTTGCCCTGGGTCGCAGCGCTCCGTCTCCTATGGGGGGCTCAGACAGAGTCTGGAGCGACTGAAGTTGGGCTCCGGGGATACACAGCCAATCAGGAAGGGCGACGGAGGGAAGCTGGATAGAGCTTGAGAGCCCCCATTTTCCTCTTTTCCTGAAATCCGCTCCAGCTGGACAAGCTAGAGCCTCGACCGGCCGGCAGGAGGGTGGATTGGATGGAAGGCATTGCTCAAGTACGGAAGGCAATCGGGAATTAGGGAGAGCATTCTAGTCTTTATCAGTTAGCCCACTGAAAATAGCTCCACGTTGACCACTCCTGCCCAGCGCCCTCTCCTACGAGCCTTCAGTCCCTCAATATCTATTCTTTGAGAAATCCGCTTGCGGGGAGAGCGGTGAAGATACTAGAAAGAGGCATTCAGACTTGAGAATAGAGTTTTTCCTCAATGTTCTTCTACCCTACATGTAAAGCCTTCCTTAGGGTCAGCCCCACCAGGACACATTCCCTGGTTTCTGTTCCAGCCAATTACAAGCAACACCCCCATCCGGCAGTTTCACTTGTTGCCTCCCAGAATGGACACCACAGAGCCCCCCAGAGCCCCAAAGAGAATGCCATTCGGCCAGTGGATGGGCTTACATGAAGAAATACCCGCACCCTGACTCAGCCTCCTGTTACTATCTTTCTCACAAGTACCCAATACAGCAAAAGATACCCCAAACTGATTCCTGATTCCTGTCCACTTTAAGATGTCTAGGCAGAAGAGCTGGATCAAAAAGAAAAAAAAAACGCGCCAGGGACTGGGCGGGGCGCTCTCGGTACCTAGAGCAGCGTAGGGACCCTCACAGTGAGTGGGAACTAAGGATCCATGCTTTAGTGAGGACCTTCTGTTGGGACGAGTTTCCAGTCTGGAAGGTGTTAGAAAGAGCAGAAGTAGACTTTCCAGTGGGTGAAGGATGAAAAGGAATTTTGAGGAGAGTCGCGGTGGCTTGGGAGTGGCGACCTCAGGAAAAGAACAATAAAACGACAAGGGACAAAAGCTGGGCGATGCAGCAGAAGCAGGAAGACCTAAAAGGGGGAGTTTAACAGGAATCAGAAGTTAGAAAGAGGCCACTAATGGAAAAGAGCGCCAGGATCTAAAGAGCATGGGAAGGGCACTTGAGAATCCAGGGAGAACAGATGGTCGCTGAACCCCAGCACCAAAGCATTTAGCCACCAGTCCGGGGCACCGGAGGTCTCACGGAATCCTTGGTTCTCCTCGGGCTCCTGGAAATGAGATCAGGAACCAAGAGGCAGAGAAGACCACAGGAATATCTGCCCTGTGTTTGCGTTTTCCGCAGCATCTCCCGGTCCCTGTGACACTGGGTGCGGCCCCTACCTTCCACTCACAGTCACCATACTGCTGGAAAGGAAGCTCCTGTCACTTCGTGTGGACATGGCCTTTAAACTGCCCACTCTTTTGGGAAAAGGGGGCGCTAAGCTTTCGGCTACCCACTTCACTCATCTCGCCGCTTCCCTCTTTCCGGATCGTGCCCAAAGTTCCAGGCTTCCCACCGCCACCGCCACCGCCACTGCCACAGCCACAACACGCGCCTTGTAACAGCTGCTGTGCGCTGGGCCATCTAGTACTTGTCTGGAGACTGTGAGCTAAGCTTTCTACCCGCTTCTCTTGGTGCAGGGACCTAAACCTCTTCTACCACCATTAGGCTAGGTTTTACTTTCTTAATTTCTTTGGCTCTGTCGTTTCATCTGAAATCAGATCTAAGCCCTAAAACTTTGAGCATGTTCCAAACCACCACCGGAAGTCCCCACTGTTAAAGAACAGAGGGGCTGCTACCTAACCTAATCATTCCCACATACAAGTGAAGTTCCTGGGAGGGAGGAACGGAAAGTGTCCTACTAACTCTGCTATTTACTACAGTTCCTGGATATTCCAATCCTTACCGCGCTGCACGAAGGGAACAAGCAAAATCTACAATTAACATCCATTTAATCTCTTGCTAGAGAAGGGCTCAGAGCCTGCAATAAGTAGAACACCCAGGAGGATAGTCTCATGAACTCCACTTCGAGGTGTATCCCAGTCTGAGCCTGTTTACTTGTGATGGGACTTGAGCTGGTAATCGCCTTGTGCTTTCTGTTCACCAAGCTACAGCACTTGGTCTTTAGACTATCCACTTCATGAACAATAGCATCACTGAATTTTAAAGATGAAGTTAAATTTCGCTTGGTAGGTTTCAAGTGGTGCTGCACACTTGAATCAACAGTCTTTGTACAACTCTACACCACGGATTATCTTCAACATCACAGAAAACATGCCATCCCAAGACTGGCGTGTGACATGTTTATACAAGCTTTAGCTCCAATGGAGTGCATATGGGGATTGTTGGCCAAGGAGAGATGAGGTGGATGGGAAAAGGTACTGTATCTATTCTGTGGAATATTATTCAGCAAGAGAAAGGAGAGGGATAATGGCACTTGTTACATCATGAAGGAACTTCAGAAATATGTGAAAAGCCACATCCAATACCACATGTTACATAATTCCACTAATATGTAATGTCTAGAAAAGGCAAGTTTACAGATGTACACAGCAGAGTAGTGGTTGCCCAAGGTTGAGGTTACAAACAGCAATTGGCTATTATGGAGTAGGATGAAAGTAGTTTCTGTTCAGAAACACTGTAAATAAAACAGCATCCATGGCTGTACAGATTTGCTAAAACACCTCGGATGATAATTAACAGGGAACAGGCATTTCTTTCAGGACCATTCTCTGGGCATTCCATGACCCACAACTAAACCCCACAGGGGGAGTTTCTAGCAAGGCATTTAGAGAGAGAAAATAAGTGCACAAAAAAACTTTTTTTTCCCCCAAGTCTGGTTCTTATCAGCTGCATTAGAGACTCTTATACACAGTAGATTGGGTTAACCCCTCCTTACCCCTTAGTGCTCATAAGAGATTAATTCTTAGGAACCTGGGTATTCTAGCTGCTTGACTTGTTGGGCACACCTACACAGCTTACAGTGTGCACTTCAGGAAGGATTTTTCTTCTTTGACTATGATGCTAGGATCTGTCTTCCAAATCCATATTAAGCACTTGGGTGGAGTAATGTGTGATTTCAGCTCAGACTGTAAAAGGAAAAAGAATAGAAAGAAAAAAGTGAAGTAACCCAACAAGTTGCCCAGGCACCACATTCTGGTGCTTATTTTCCTTTGTGCTTTTACTTTGATTTTCAAGGGAGAAAACTATGGTTCAAGGTTGCCTATGCCTTCCAATCCAAACACAGAGGAAGCCCAAATGAGGCCCCCTCTAGTCTCTGTCTCTATCTGTGAAGCAGAGCTGATAATTTCATGTCTTTCCCTCATCAAAGGGACCCGGTCCCTTTGATGTGCCTTTCCTCTAACTCTGAAGATACCCAGGGCCTAGGTTGCTATTCTTCATTTCCAGTCAGAAGCCCCAGGCTCCCCAGATCTCCTAGAAACTTCTTGCGCTAGTAGGCCTTTTGGTAAAAGACCTTGGAAGTAAGGCAAAATCTAAACATGGAATAGATTTCCTCAGACTGATTTAACCTCCATACATGCATTCCTCAGGCAGTGAGTGCTCATGGAGAAAGATGAAATGAGTTAACCATGTTGAGTCAACTTTCCAGAAATAAAAAACAAAAACTGTAAAGAGTCATGTAGCTTTTATCTGTGTCAGAATCCCATCCCTGTCCCTGTTGTGTCAAATTCCTGGAAAGAATTGAACAAACATTAACTCATTCCACACCAAAGTAAGGATACCAACTTGGTGAACTAGTTAGTCTGTCAGGTTTACTTACAGGAGCAGAAATAACTCTAAATATCTCCATCACCAAAAGCCCAGCCTAGCATGGCTCACTAAAGAACTCTGAAGCCTGCTGCATGACTTACAGTTAGATCCAACTGTCTTTTCCACACAGCCTGTCTTCTCTAAGACAGTCTCCCAACAGTTTATATAGCTGATTATACAAACTTGGAAAAGGAAAGACTGGGAGAATCTGGTTAGTTTCAGGGGCTTCCTGAAGCTATTGAATTGTTTCTTTCCTGAACGTAATGAATTTCCATGGAGGGTAAACTACTTCATCCTTTAAGTGCTTCTCTCGAAGACTGAATGTTATTTCAGAGGAAACTCCTACACAGCAGTCTCTCAACAGTTGTTTGATTTTGAGCAGGCTATTATCCATCCCCAAATGTGGTTTTTAGGTCTGTAAAAGGGGACTATTGCCTAAACCTCAATTGCTGCAGGGATTGGTTGCCTACACTTTCAGAAATAATAAACGTTGCCCCTAGAACAAAGATTGAAAAAACTGAGAGCTATCAGTTATTATTATTAATTATTAAATCCGATCACAGTACTTTAGTCAATCCAATTAAGAAGGATACATGTGTAATTATAGATTATAATTGTGAGAATCAGCAATATGAATCTCAGTCTAGAATATTATGACTATTGAAAGCTGTACTCTCACTACAGTTTGCAGTGACAATATCAGTGGCAAACAGGCTCTGGATGCATTCTGTGTCTGACACAAATCCTTCAAGTCACATTGGACAAGCATTTCTCTGAGCCTCAGGCCCTATAACTGTGACTGAAAGTTTATCCAACTTGAACTCTTGGATATTTGTGTGTAAACAGGGGTAATTCTTTTTTGTAT